AATGCTGTGACGTGTGCGTGTAGATACATCCGCGTAGTAAACCGATTGAAAAAGTAAAGGGTGATACGGTCAAAATTTTGTCAATATCAACTTGACGTATTTCTTTCAATTTTGCATTTAAAAAACCTGAACACCCCTCATTTTGAAGGTGTGTGTGTGTAGAATGTTGCTCCTATTTTGATTTTGGAATTCACTCTTCAGTTGTCAAAATGCCGTCCAAGCAAGAAGAGCAGCGTATCAAAATTTTGCTCGCGCATCGCGAAAATCCGAGCTACTCGCACGCAAAGTTGGCAAAATCGCTAAAAGTTGCCAAATCAACCGTTACAAATGTAATTAAAGTGTTTGGGGAACGTTTGTCGACAGCCAGGAAGTCTGGATCGGGGGGAAATCGAAAACCGGAAGCCGCTGAGACGACAAAGAGAGTTGCCGGTAGTTTCAAGCGAAACCCTAACCTCTCTCTCCGAGATGCCGCAAATAAGCTGGGTGTATCGTCTACAACCGTGCATCGAGCCAAAAAACGAGCCGGACTATCGACTTACAAGAAGGTAGTGACTCCAAATCGCGATGATAAACAAAATACGACGGCCAAAGCGCGATCCCGGAGGCTGTACACGACGATGCTGACGAAGTTTGACTGCTTAGTAATGGACGACGAAACCTACGTCAAAGCCGACTACAAGCAGCTTCCGGGACAGGAGTTTTATACGGCAAAAGGAAGCGGAAAGGTAGCAGATGTTTTCAAGCACATGAAACTGTCAAAGTTCGCAAAAAAATATCTGGTTTGGCAAGCCATCTGTACCTGTGGCTTGAAAAGCAGCATTTTCATAGCTTCCGGGACTGTCAACCAAGAAATTTACGTGAAAGAGTGTTTGAATAAACGTCTGCTACCTTTCCTGAAGAAACACGGTTGTTCCGTACTGTTTTGGCCGGATTTGGCATCTTGCCATTACGGTAAAAAGGCCATGGAGTGGTACGCCGCCAACAACGTGCAGGTGGTTCCCAAGGACAAGAACCCTCCCAACACGCCAGAGCTCCGCCCAATTGAGAAATACTGGGCTATTGTCAAGCGGAACCTAAAGAAGACCAAAAAAACTGCTAAGGGCGAGCAGCAGTTCAAGGCAAACTGGCTTTCTGCGGCGAAGAAGGTGGACAAGGTGGCTGTACAAAATCTGATGGCAGGGGTCAAGCGTAAGGCCCGGCAATTCGGACTTGGAAAAGCGGAAGCCTAACTGAATATTTTTCCTGAATTTTATACTAATTGAACTTGAAAAAGAAATTTAATTTGATTTTTTAAATAAACGATTTCACCGATTTAACGCGTTTTCCCTTGACCAAATTTTGACCGTATCACCCTTTAAATCCGTTCCGAACGAAATATTTTAATTATTTAAGTTACGAAAACCGCGCGCGTTCCAAAAGCCGTGCGAGACAACCGAAGCGAGAAAAAAGGTATATTATCACTTAAAGAGTGCCACCAATATAAATGTGATAGCCTATGATGGCAAATTGATTAATTTTGGTTTCCTCCCTAGATGTTCTACTTATTTACTACTGAGCTTTGTATCAAATTAGTTAATTTCAAGGACGTAGCAATCATTTCAAGATTTCGCGACCGCACCGAACAAATTCAATACTACATAAGCTCAAATGCGTTTGACAAGCTCTACCGAATTGCATATCACTTCTGTGTAAGCTCCGTAGACGTAGGCGCGTTGAATCCGACAGTCGGCAAAGTTTTAACCTGTACCAACACCGCTTAAGGAACGACCTCGAGTCAGTAAAACCGTTTAGAGCTAAACATCTAAATTACTTAAGATACGAAAATCGCGCAAATTGTGAACGCCACGCGAGACAACCGTGGATAAAAAAAACAGCTTATTATCACTTAAAGAGTGTCACCAAAATAAATTTGATAGCCTATGTTGGCAAGTTGATTAATTTTGGTTTCCTCCCTAAATATTCTACTTATTTTACTGTTGAGCTTTGTTTCAATTTAGTTATTTTACCGCACTTATCAATCATTTCAAGATTTCGCGACCGTACCGAACAAATTCTATACTACAGAAGCTCAAAAAAACTTTTGATGAGCTCTACCGCATTGCGAATCACTTCTGCGTAAGCTCCGTAGACGTAGACGCGTTGATTCCGACAGCCGCGAAAAGTTAAACATGCATCAATACCACATAAGGAAAGATCGATTTTACGTATGGTTTAGTTCATAGATTAACATTGACTGCTGTTTACAAATGTAAGTACTTGAACACTATGAAATAAGTTAACTCAAATGCTTTAACCGTCTATATAAGAGATTTCGCGAATAGTAATCGAGTACAATAAACTCAGGGGAATACAATACCTCCAAAAGTTTAAAAGCTATTAATTGTCACATACCTCTACTTTTACTTATTTCCTAAACTATTCTTCTCCTTGTTAATCTACTTAATACTATTGGTCTGCCTGCGTTTTCTTTTTTAAGTTCAAAACTAAATAAGAAGATTTATTCTACAACCTTAAAGGATAGTTGCCTCCCTAAGCGGACTCCCCACATCCTAATTCTTTTGTTAATCTTCTTAATGTCATTAGACTTTCTGAAGTTTCTTATTTAAGTTCATTTGATGATTATGATATCTCATTATTCTAATTTAATAAATTATTAAAAGCTCTAATTCACCTAATCAATCATAACCCATGCTTTATTAAGTACCTGCATTTGTGCTTGTAATCTAAAATTAAACGTGTTTCAAGTACTTTTGATTTAAGCCTATACCTATTTATTATATCTTAGTTCGACCCAGGTAACACCTTCATGTGACTAAAATGCTTCATTTTGAAGTTAGTTTCCTAGCTGATTTTTAAATTATATATGGTATATGTTTCAACTATGCTCACACGCTTCCACTATGTCGCACCACAAAAATACGAATGGGTATGTCACAATAGAAGCACGCTACAGTGGAAATCCCGAGCCATAGTTCAAACACTTATCCCAAATCAAAATGAAGCACATATAAGATTAGTTACAATACCATGTACAAAAATGCTGTTTAACATTGTTTTCTGAGTAATACTTCAATGAAAACAACAATGAAAGCTTGTCACGCAAATAGAAGGAGCACTGATGGGCACTTTCTGAAATATTTCAATAGTATAATTCCCTTGCAAACCCAAATAAATCTATCTGCGTAAAAATAAATAAAATAAGATTGATTTGCGGCAAAACCCGCCAGTATCACACCCAACGTCAGTGCCTATACGTAAGCGTACTACGACACGGCTCTCAATCAAAGGAGTAACAAGTGTGATACTATTACTGCTAGACTAGATCTTTGGTTCTCTCATGCAGTGGTTTATCAGAGAGGGGAAGCTTAGTAGTCCCCATTGCCTGCCCATGGCCCCATTCTATTGCGGCATGAGCCAGTAACACCGGCCATAAACCTACCGTCTCCAACACTCCACTACAAAGCATGAAATTAAGCCCGCCCACCAACAGCAAGGTGCAAAAACTAGCCAAGGGGAGGGGAGTTTGTAGAATTTCAAAATATTAAAACCAAAATGATTTTTTTTTTTTTTTTTCCTTTGGTTTGTTTTTTCCGTCGATCTTGTTTTCCGTGCTGAGCACCAATGCTATCGACGTGCCAGGAAGGCAGCTCCTACACCTGGACCCTACCTATCGACCCATCAACTCATGAACCGGGGACCAACGGCTTTACTTCCCATCCGAAGGAAGGCGTGATCAGAGATGTTATGCCTCAGAACATCCCGGCGGCGCCGACTGGGATTGAACCCAGGCCTGCTGGGGTGAGAAGTAATCACGCTTACCACTACACCACCGGTGCCGTTAACTTCAAAATATTAAAACCAAAATGATTTGTAGAAATTGAAATATAAGCTAAGCACAACTTGTTGTCCCATTCAATGTTATTGAGCTCAAGAAGTTCGAAAGATCGCTCTTTTGAGCATATAGAGCCTCAAGATTTAAACTGCAGGATTAGTCGACGAACTTTTAATGCCGCACTTCTTGTGCTTTTTTACATTGATGAGCCACACCGTTCGAAAAATTCATGTAAACTTCTGCGAGATATAGCGCACATAAAATTAACGCTAGATTTGGCATAAATATACGGGATATTTCGTGTAAATTTAAGCGCAATATCGCATAAATTATCAATATTGTATGCAAGCTTGTAAACGATTTCGCTGTTTATGCCAAGTATAGCTCAAAATTAAACGAAGGGAGATTTTACGCGATAGTTAAAATTCAGAATTTTTCTCTGTGCAATGGCAGCAAATTCTTTGATTGTAATTCATAAATCCATGAGGATTCCGAGATATAGGTGATCAACGTATTCATAGAAATTCAATCTCATATTTTTCTGCATAATACACGTATTGTAGAGCAATTATACTAAATTAATCATATGCTTATCTCTAAATAGTGATTTTTGACAGCTCGTTTCGCGTAGAGATCGTGAGATCGAATTGGTTAAACATACATAATACACACATTATACACGACTGAGATGTGTGGCATTTTAGCAAATCTTCCCTTCCTTCTCAAAATGGTTATCGTCCATTTTATCCTTGCTTTTCTCATGAAAGAGGGAAACTATAACACTACTACCAGAGGCGTGTTATCGATGTATTAAGCTTAAAAGAGAAACCAAATAAACCTTTCTTTGCACTCAGCCACCCGTCTTACGAATGGTTGTGATAGCATGAAATATACTTTTATCAGCTCCCATAAATTGCATTTGAGGATTATTACATTGCACCCATGCATTCTTGTTCAATTCCGATGCATTCTACCCATAAAGTATCGATGGAGGAAAGTGACAAGTAGTGAGATATTTGCTTGTCCCAAAAAGCGCAGTTCACCGTTAAATAGTTCGCTCATGCTAGGTTATTGGGCCATTGAATTATCAATTATCTGACTATGAACCAAAATATAGAAGTGTAAACAAAGTGAGTAAACTCTGTTATTTATCCTTTACTGCATTTACCTGGTTTGGATAGCTGACCGTTAATCAACCGCTAATTAACTCGTTTATTTGAAATCATAACACGCCAGCAAAACAAACAACGACTTAATGCTACTCTTTTCTCCACGCACTTTTTTGCTCATCTTATACTTGCACACGAAATGATATTTCAAATCCCTCGGAGTATGGGAATTTTTTTTTAGCAAATGCTCACAACCTATTTCACCGAAAAGCGATCTGTGTATTTCGAATGTTATTTTTGGAATCGCAACCACCACATCGATGAATGGCAGATACGGGAGTAAAACGAGAGCAAATCAAACACTTGCTCCTGATGCTTCAAATAGGAATTGACTTTTTTTCACACACACTGAAAACTCGCCAAGCACTTATACAAATCACTAACACAATCCCGTAACAAAAAGAGCATTTCCATACGAAAACATTTTTCTTTAGTAAGAAACTTTCGTTTACATTGCAAAAACCAATCTCACAGTTCATAAATTTCCATCGCTACCAGTTGCACGTACGACCAGAAAGCCCTTGCACTGGAATGGAGATCACACTTTTCCGGAATACCGGATATGATGACACGATTGCAAAGTTTATTCGTGAAAATCTCCCCCTCTGGCAATGGATGCGAAAAAAAAATCTGATTTATTCACTCCAGCTTCATCAAAGAACACGTGGAAACTTTTTCTAGCACATCTTGTGAAGCCTAAAGGCTTTCTATTAGATTTTTCTCAGCTTTTCCAGAACAACGCACAAGAGTTTAGCTTTCCCTACCACGACGAAGACGACAACAACGGTGAGGTTCTGTTTTGTTCTTTGAAAGGATACTAGAGAAATTAATATGCGATGGATGCCTCCAAACCGTAAAAAAAACTTGATCTCCGCTTTCGGAAAATTTCCATCACGGCCACGTCTCCATGGAAACAAATCCAACTTGCTCTCTACAGCAGCGGATTAACAAATTGTCCCGTTTAAAAATGAAAGAAAAAACACCACGCAAAACACACCACAACCGCGTCTTTCCCAGGTCAGTCCACGCGAAATCCCCGAGGAAAACTATCAGCTGCACTGGCGCTCAGCACGGAATTATGAAAAAAATATCTCACGCTAATGTGGATTTTCTCAAAAACCGAAAATATCGCTCCGCGTTGTCCGGCAGATCATGGGCATAGAAGATACATGGAGCAAATGTGTGTGAGTGCGCGATCTTTGGGAGTGAACGCCACCGGCTGACCAAGAACTAAGAGGATGAAAAACCCACCAAACTTAGTGTGTGATCGAACACACGACGACGTTGGCTACTCAGTTGCTCTCTGGCCAGAAAACATACTTAAACTCTATAGCTGGCAGAGGTACGCGCATTGATTGATGAGATTTTATCGACCAGTGTTGCCAGAAAGCTCAGTGTTTGGCTTGGAGATTTGATGGAAAAGTTAAATTTTCCAATCTATTTTATATAATGAGTTCGAAATTATTCAACTTATTGAACTCTGCATCTGATCAACTACCTGTTGAAGCTGTATTTCCTAAGGGTAGCATTCTTGGGCCGATATTGTATAATTAGGGATAACATCTGGTGAAGGTTCAGAATCAGGACATTTTTAAATTGTTTATTTCATTAATAATTATTGGTTTCTACCCGTATTTTTACCTCTGACAATCAAACCACAGACAAACAGACATAACACTCAAAAGTTGTTCATCGAACAAGCATTTAACGGACAATTTAAAAGTATCGTATCGCGCTGTGGCGCGCATAGTCAACTCCCTTGCGTTTGACGTTTACACACTACCATCTGTTCAGCGTAGTGCCCACCACAGTGTACTCAACAGATGGCGGTAATGTTTTAGCGACGATGTTTTACAGTGAAAAATATTCAATGTGTTATGTCTGTTTGTCTGTGATCAAACCATGAACAAAATAGCATTATATGCATATATTTTTATTCAATAAAAAGTCTTTTATTTAAAAAAAACATTCATACTGAATGCATCGATACTTTGAGATAGCAAGTCTATTTGTCATATTTTTCGGACGATCTCGAGCAATTTCTAATTGCCAGGCAAAAGTAAATACTTGAAAAAATCGACACTTGTAAGTTAAAATTTGCAATTTAAGTTTAACAGTTTTTAGATGCTTAACCGTTTTAACCGTAAGAAGATTCCTCTTATCACTTCACTGAGATCCCATCAAATGAAAAATGCGTTCATAGTTTGCGATATGTCCTGGTATGGACAAAAAGTACTGAGTAATCTTTAAATTTTTTGAGTAGCCAGCGATATTCAGATTGCTACTAAAAAAATCACACAACTTCTTGAGGTTGACGAACTGATCGAAAAGCAGATTCTCGCCGATGCAGACATCTTTATCCTTCAGGACCAGAACAGATTTCTCGACATCTGCATACTTAATCGTCAGATTTTGGAAATCAAGTTACTGGAACACCTAGAATCAATCAAATATTAAGCATTACGAATTATTTAATGCATTTATGCTCATAGCTTCGGATCAGCACGAGATTCTGTCCACTTCTTCTAATACCGTTGCTAAGTGTTCTGTAGACTTCCTGAGTAGCAGCTTTGAATTCCAAACATTCCTTCGAAGTCGATGCCATCTGAACATTTTTAGAATGCTTGGGTATTTTGATATGCTTTTCCAAATCCGCTTTACCTGAGGAGGTTTATGATTTATTTGAGTATATTACTTCTATAGAATGGAAATATGTACATACCGCTGCACTATGGGGCATTTTCATACAACCAGGCGGTCAAAAATATTTCTATCATTTTTTCACAATTTCTGCTATTATTCTTGCTTTGTTTCATCAATATAAGGTGTGCGTTATCACTTTTCAACATTTTCACGACCAACTTTTGAAAAGGGCCTAACTTTTGATTAATTAAAATTTAATTTTTACGATTTTATAACGGTTACAGTTTCAAGCTTGTTTTCAGAGAATAAAATCTATTGAACAAAGACAACCTACCATGGTTTTATTGAGGGGAACACCGTAAAAAATAAAAAATAACCTTTTTTTTGGAAATATGTTTATTTTTTTCAACAAATCTTCTGTAAAAAAAAACACAAAAAGCCATGATACAATAATCAAAATCAAATATGTTTGAACGAATTTCTTTTTATTCCTCTGTTACAATATCATCATGAACAAATTCTTCTTCAATTTCATCGACTGCTTTCATAAGTTCCTCCAAGGCATTGAAGTTATTAGTATCGACTACTGAATCACTCACAGAATTTTCAAATATCATGAAACTTTTCACGATGTCGGGATAATCCAGGGATACTTTTTTCTGTCGTTTTTTTGCCATCCAAATGGAACTGATCAGTGGGTCCGATTCATTAATGGCACGAATAAAGACATCATGTAAATTTTCTACTCTTGATCGTTTTCTTGCAGGATGGGTTCGATATTTTTCCAATTGTTTATGTTGACTTTCTGCTGCCTCTTTCGCTAATGAACCAAGTGGTGCTGGTGAATGTATGATTATTTCTCCGGCATGAGCGAGAACTTTATGCACGGTTGCAGGACTTTTGTACCAATCATACAATTTAAGATAGAGCCTATATGTTTGCTTGCAATATGCATCAAATTTTTCCGGGTTTATTGGCTCTTGGCAGTTAATAGCAATTAATATATTCCGGAATCTGAAAATTAACTCTTCATCAATGTTCAGCACGGAGCTTAAAAGCTTGGGATTTCCAAATGCTCTTCGACAAACGTTTCCTGTAGTACTGGTACCTGCTCCACCCGATCGTGGTTGATCTACTCTTACTCCAAATTTTTCGTAAAGCTGTGTCGTCACATGTTTTTTCTTTGTTCATATAATTCTTTGAACGGTTTCGTTACCTTCCATTTTTTGATATCCATTATGTATGCAATATGCAAAAGGCATTCGAAAAATCTTATCCAAGCATGAAGTGGAGATATGCCGTAATGGTAGGCTTCTTCGTTTGATATAAATCCTTCCTCGAATTTCTCTGCATCATTCATTACATTTGGTGTTGCCCCACATATTGGACAATTCTGCATCGACAAATTTCCAGTGATATAAGTTAAGACTTTTCCACCTATCATACTGAGGACAAAATCAAAATCAACAAGTATAAACTTGTCGTTTGGGAGTTCAATTTTCACTGGCGTTAGTTCACTCATTTCTTTTTCTACATCCTGTTTTGTAGCCAGAATAACTTCTTTACTCTCTTTAATGAATTCAAGGATGAATGGCCTACAAAATCGAATACTTTGAGGCATGGGATTAAACCACATAATTTCCTTTCGATCATTGTACATGAACAACTGAATTGGTGTTAAAGTGGACGAAAATACATCTGAATCGTCCTGACATCCTTCTGGTAGCACTTGATGATATTGCGAATATCCAGTTGATCCGTCCATACCCCAGCTACATAGAAGAACCAGTTCCGTAGAAACTAGATCGTTGCTATCCATATACTCGTTGAGCTCTGCATCAATTATTTGGACGATTCGTTTCACTGTATTTTCCATCAGCGCCTGGAGTTTCACTCTTATTTTCAATGCACTTTCTTCGATGAATTCACTAGGAGGGGCGCATATTTTTTTCACTGATCCGCCGTAAGATGGAAATCTTGAAGGTGATTCACTATGTATTACTTCGTATTGAAATCTACTCAATCCAGCCTCGATAAGTACACTAAAAGCCTCTTCTGGTGACATCATTCCTCGTTGATCAGTTAGTTGAGCCAGCATGGTTTTAGAGCTTTTTTGGTTTTTTAAAATATGCCCAATTACTTTAACTAAATTAAAATCCTTTCGATTATAAGCGGTCCGTCTTGCAAATAACAAAGCTTTCTCGATGTGAACAAACCGGTGCATTTTCAGAGGCAGAATTTGGTGAGATCTATCTGATTATAAATCAATCATAAATGCATATTTCCAAATATTACTAAATACGCGCCAGATTTCAAAACATCACATTTCGAAATCTGGAAGTGTGTTTGCAGTACCATTATTCATATGATAACGGTAGTGTTTACATGCGGGGCTTATTGTATGTGAATGTAGCCTCGGAATGGACGTGAATTACCAAGCATTCTGAAATGGGTTGCTGAATCTGCAGTAGAGCTATCGCTTTCTAACTCCCGGACTAAACTTGCTTTAACTTATTACATCAAGGATTGTTGTAAGCAAATTTCTTCTATAATACCACTGCCGGCCAGTGGGGGTTAGATTGAACACACACACACACACACACACACACACACACACACAACTGCTTCTTTATCGATGACGCGACGTTTTCGTCTTTCACTCAAATCCAAGAAAGGTTTTGAAGGTCGTCCACGTTTTGTTCCCGAGGCCGAGGTTGAGGCAACACATTGCTCCTGTTCGATGAATTCCTCAATGACAAATTCTTCATCAAGCCAATTCCGAAAATACGACTCAAATCGCTCTTTCGTGCGATTAGCTTCATGCCATTACTTGATGTATTTAGTAACGATTTTATGGATCTTTTCATCGAGACGTTTACGTTTTTCCACCGAGATGTTATAATTTTCACAAATGAATTCAATGGCTCTGTGAAAATTGTCACTATGGCTTAATTTTGCGTCTAATAGATTATTAATGATTCTATTATCCATGCTCACACTTGGTCTCAACCGTAAATTTGAATTACACTGTAGTAGTTTAAATAAAAGCTAAACAAAATACACTATGGCTTCAAATTGACACTACAGTAGGTTAAGTACAGACTTAGGTATAAATTAAACTCATCCGCACATATGCGTAGGTACATACTTACGCATATGCTTCTATTATCGTCATAACCCAGGTACTTACTTTAGAATAAAGCATAAACGAATGTAGTTTTTCGTTCATCCAACAGTGAACTTTATGATAATGATGACTTCTTTTTGTACAAAAGCTTAAGCCCTTTTTAAAAGTTGGTCATGAAATATTAGAAAATGTTCTTTAACAATATATTTTGACTATACCAACCGAATATAACTCCAAAAGTTGCA